ATACACTTTTGACATCGGGTGTAAAATTGTTGGAAACTGTCTACAAACGCTTCTTTCTGTATGGTTCGAAGCACCGTTGTCACACGTTGTTGGATCTCAGTAACGTCGGAAAAGTATTGGCCTTTCAGAACTCCTTTGAGGCGGTGAAATAGGAAGAAGTCTGCGGGAGCCAGATCTGGAGAATAAGGAGGGTGATCCAAAACTGGAACCTGGTGCCTGTCGAGGAATTGGGTTACACGGATCACAGTGTGCGGCCTGGCGTTGTCATGGAGCAGATTCCACTGTCCATTCCGGTACTGTGACCGAATCCGGCGTATGCGTAGCAGCAGCAGTTTCAAAACGCCCTCGTAGTATTCCGCATTGACGGTTGTAGCCGCGGGTACAAATTCACGATGGATCAAACCCTTACTGTCCAAAAAGACGATCAACAATGTCTTGATCCTGAATTGTGACAAACCATTTTTTTTTAGGGGGGGGTGACGACGTTGAACACCATGACATGGATTGGCGCTTGGTCTTCGGATCGTATTGATAGCACCAAGACTCATTCCCTGTAATTATTGTTTCCAAGAATTGTGGATTCCGGTCACATATGTCGATAAAATCTCCAGAGGTTTCCATCCGGTATTGCTTTTGCTCGTCTGACAGCGAGTGCCATACAAACCAGGCGCATATCTTATGTTTATGCAAATGTTTGTGCACAATGGTGCTCACACTGTCTAGGCTTATCTGCAATTCGCGAGCTATCATTCTTAAAGATAGTCGTTGATCTGCCGCAAGCATCCGTCGAACTCATTGTCCACATTGTCTGGAGTTGTGCTTGTTGTAGGGCGCCCTAACTGCGGCTCATCTTTGACATCCTCCTTTCCATTTGTAAAGCATTTAAACCACTCATAAACACACTTTTTACTCACTGCTTCTGACTGTAAACTTCTACTAACATGTCGTGTCTCCGTCACCGTTTTGCCTAACTTGAAGCAAAACTTTATGTTTATGCATTGCTCCATGTCACACTGACAATCTTTCTCACACTGACTGTGTTAAACTGCTCATAGTGTGCGCTTCCTCTTATCTGTCGTAAAATGGCTGTTAGATGGCTCTAGATAACATTTCTCTCACTGCGTCTGCGTGAGTGCAAGATCCTAACCGGTGCGGTTTTTTTAATTAAGAGACCAATCACCGAACTTTTCGAACACGTTGTAGAACTTTGATATGTATTACATATTGATATAATACATGACATTTAGCCTGTCTCAGTTTCATTCGGAAAATAGCACATGTCTTGGATTCTAATATGTGCAGATGTTACAGTGAAACACCGAAATCTGGAGAATGTCGACTTTCTCCGGCGAATGTCAACATTCACATAGTCGCTTGGTGTACGTCCGAAATATTTTCTAAATACTCTTATTTCCGACTTACAGCCGTAAATGTCGACATTTACCATTAGTACATGGATATAAGAAATATAAGAAGATATGTTATATATGGAAGAATCCATAATTCAGTTGCGAAAAAATGCAATTGAGACTTAAAATAAGAACTTAAAAGACACAGTACATTCAATATGAGAAAGGAAAATAATACAAGTTAAAAACTTACTTAATTATACAGTACATTCTAAATGGAAAATAAAATAATAGTAATAAAAAACTTACTAAATTATGTGATTCAAATCTCATTTATTGCAACAACTTAAACTATTATGACATTTTGAATTGCACAAAAGGTCCTTGCTTTTGCACAAGAGGTCCTTGCTTTTACAACTGCATTTATTTGTGGAACACTTTCTTTTGCAATGACAGCGTGTATTAGCCTTGCCCACCGATTCTCGAATTAGCTGCAACTGCTTCTCTCAGTGACATTTCTTGAAAATAAATCTCATCTATGGAAAGTAACTTTTCTTTACAAATTATGAACTGATTACGTGTGTAAAGCTTCTTGCGAGTACCATTTTCGTTTGCAAGTTTATAGAAGTCACAGTCTTCTATTCCAACAACAACTGCTAACACATTTTGGTTATCTGTATGATCACAGTCAACATAGGGACTTGTATTCGTACAGTATCACCATTTTAAGCAGGAGGAAATTGTTTTTGCGAGGTTCATAACATTATCGTTGTGTGAGGTTCATAACATTATCGTTGCTTGCAGTTCAAGATTCTCTTTTGCAGCCGCTCTTTTTATAGAAATTAGCTTGTATTTTTCAGTCAGAACTTGATGTGAAGACGTGGTAGATTGCAACTCTTCAATATTTTTCTTTGAAATACGGTTTTCGGTATGACCACCGTTCAATTTTTTTTTTCAGAAGCATTACCAGCTTCTTCAAGCTGTTCTTCGGTTTCAAAAGTATTGGCAATTTCTTCGAGTTGTTCTTCGGTTTGGATATTTGCGATTTAGGATTTGCGATTTTTCGCTAGGCAAAAAAGACAATGCTTATGCCTCTTTTTGCTTTAACGCCAAACATGGCTTCATAAAGACTTTGGCATATTCCTTCGTGGTATGCAGTATTCTTGGCAAATTGAACAAAGGGTAAATCTTCTGTCCATTTATTTGTATCGCTATCGTTCATCCATGCAGTTAGCATATTCTGTATATCCCGATTCAACCTTTCAACTGAGCCTTGTGTTTGACTGTGACGAGGCTTTCCATGAACTATCTTAACATCTTTCCACATAGCGCATATTTTGGATATGACTTGATTACTGAATTCTCTACCATTATCTGATTGCAATATTGATGGAACACCAAATGTTAAAAATTTTGCAAGAACATGATACGATTCTTCAGCTCTCTTAGTTTTCAAAGGTTGTAGCTGGGCAAACTTAGTCTTGATACACCATTACGAACTTATATTTGCCATCTCTGTTTGACTGCAGATCTATCAGATCAGCTTGACATCTTGAGTTTAACTCAGATCTGATCATTGATTTCACAACAATACCTTTCTTAGGTGCACTGTGTTTCATTTGACACTGTTTGCATAAATTTAAATACAACATTACAACTTCATATGTAATATTTTTGTATTTAATTTGCAATTCTTTAGGCATATGTGTTCTTCCTCCGTGGCCTATTCTGGTGTGAGTTTTACATAGTATACTGAACAATTCCTCATTAGTAACATAATACTGTATATTCATTTCTCCTGGTTATAATGGTACAATTAACTTCTTTTCATCATTAATTTTTAAAATGTGAAAACGTTTTAATCATCAGTAATCCAAGGAAGTGTTGCACTTAGTTTTAGCAGAAACCACTTCAGAAAGTATTTTAAAGAACTTTTCTTGAGAAAAATAAAAATGGTTTGCTTCTCGTTTACCCACAATTAATGCATTTAACTTTTCAAGAAAAGGATCACAAGTCATTGCAGTATCCATTCAATATAAATTACAGTATCGGAAAAAAAAAAATTAAGAAAATGTTGCACCAGCAAACCTTGCACAAGACTGACTACCACCAGAACAAAGGATTTGGCGGGAAACAGCCAGTCGCTTCTTTGTCTACTAGTCTCTTTTCGACCTACACCAGAGCATATATCTGTGATTGTCGACATACACCGGTGAGGGTTTGAATGTACAAGAATGTAATGCAATATTTGATCTTTCAGCGAATTATGTATTTGGTGAATGTCGACATTCTCCAATTTCGGTCTTTCACAGTAACACAAACACAGCACAAAAATCCCAGAAATTATCCCATTAGGATATTATCTATATATTTCATAGGGATAACTTCAGAGATTAAAATGTTTTCTTAAACATTCATAACAAATTATGCTAATTTCACCCAGTTACATTTATTACTATGAAAGGAAATTGGGGTACATTTAATTTAGTCCTGAAAACGATGAGTTATCAAAAATGCCAATGAAATTCATGCAGATCTAAAAATAGCTAGGATTTCCTTTAAGATAAGCAAAATAGATATATAAAGTATCCATGCCTCAGTTTTTAACAAACAAAATAGAAAATTATAGAATATGTAAAAAGTTTTCAAAAATATGGTAGCTGAAGAACAAAATACAATCAAGCAAACCTTTTATTATCAGAGATAAATATCACCCTGCTGCCACTGTGCATCAAACGAAGACTGATGCATAGTGACAGCAGGGTGATATTTATGTGCATCAAACGAAGATGAATGAAGATTAATGCATGAATTCACAAGTTTTGAATAAAGAATAGTTTTAAGCTGTTTATGAAATAATTCTTTGAATTAAGAAGAGAGTCAAGAGTAGAAATCAAAGATTTCCTTCAAAAATTTAAATAAACATTTCTCATCAATATGAAAAGCATTTTTAATGACAATATTCAATAAATTAAAGCAATAATAAATCATTTTACATGCATCAATTATTCAAATTATAAAAATTGATCCTCTCATTTATGTTTGCTTACCAAAATACCAACATGAAAATAGCAGATTTCCTGTATAATATGAAAGACTTTTAATATATGAAGGCCATCACGGCATGATGAAAAATAAATAAACTGCACAAATTTTCTCCTTCCCAGTAAAAGACTTACTTCGGTGGATATGGTAGTTTATTCAAAATAATACTCAGATAATACAAAATAATATAAGCTTACACACACGAAAAAAAAAAAATAATAATAATGAACAGGAATGTTAGCCTCTTTACAGTTATGCTAGTAGCTTCTTTAAGGAACAAATATTTTTATTCAATAGTGGATTTCTTTTTAGAGCTTTACATTGGATTTTACAATTTTGTGATCTCTACTTTTCCTTTTCGAATCTCTCTGAACTATATTAAGCAATTCCAAATTAGATTTTAACAACATTTCAAGTAATTTATCTGTTTGTGGACAACTTCAGATTTATATTTATAAAGGCTCTGCAGCATGCAACACTGTAAAATGAGTATTCATGATTATGATGTAAGGTGACCATTGTACATAACTGACTGATTGTGGAATGCATTAAGCAGCACAAAAACTTAACTGTTTCGTTGCCAAATAGGCACTTACCTCACCTTACCTCTTCATCTAGTTGTGTATCTTTCTCATCCAGAACTTCTTCACGGACTTGTTCCCGATCAAACAACGTAGACATATCCTTCCTGTAGAGAGTTGCTGTGACTGTTACGATTGCACATGCAGTTATTGTGCCAGAGTCTTCATCATCAAGAACTGAAACAAGGAGGAAAAAATAACATTTAAACAACCCATGCAGAATAAAAGACAGCACTTTAATATAAGAATGAATTCTAGCTTAATAACAATTAAAATGGTTCAAGGCAAGACATACTAAGGTTTTGAAATATTATATACTACAAAAATATTACATTTTACAATTCAATTGAAATTCATACAAAAAATTATCATACAAGCCAATTTAATTTACTCTTTCATCTTCTTTCTGTTAATTATTAATTTAAATTATGATTAAAACTAAAGTAACTAAAACAATTTTATTCAAAGATTTTTTAATTTTCACACGTTAGTAACGTTTAGTTTCACACAAAACGTAAATGTACACTGCAACTTGGTAATGGTAAGAAGTTGATAAATAAAATTTTACAGGTAGAAGCATTAGTAGTGGGAAATTTTACAGGTAGTTGTTCTTCATTACCCTACACCTAATTATTATTTTTTGTTGTAGCAAGAAAGCTACCACTGATGATCAATGTGAGAACCTGCTACATTAACAATGCAATGATCAAATTGCTCTACAAATCCAGAGATAACTCAGTAACATTGATTTACAGTAAGGACCTGTGTTAACTTTTTCCCAATGAATGGGATGCATAAAAATTTGTTTTCACTAGCTTGCACACATCTTAACAAGGGAGATGAAATCAAGTAACTATTTGTGATAGTCTTCTTTAAAATTTCTTTTGGAATTGTTAAGTGTGTTTTCCTGAAGTGGAATTTGGCTTTTTCATTTGATCCATCCAGCAAAAGCAATCGATGGAATGGAAGTGCATTTGCAGCATGGAAACAAAGATAGCTGCAGGGCACTAAATCAAGTGCATCATATACTGAGCGATATTTTCAAATGACCAATGCTTCAAACAACAAAATTTCATTTCTTTAGTGTTAATCACTGCCGAGCTACAGTGGATTGTACCTCATGTTTTGATCAGCCTCTCTACAGCCAATTACTTGATATTAGGGAGGGGCTTAAAAGTTACTGTTTTTGTCAGTTGGTTAATTTTTACAAAGCACACTAAGGCTCTCAGCTTATGGGAGGAATATCTTTATCAATAATTTTCCTACTGAGAATCATAATTACATACTGGGAAACCATGAAAACCTCATGCAGTGTCTTTTTTTTTTTTTTTTAATGAATTTGGAATAAATTAATAGTGTTCTACAGCTTTATCTACTCGATTACTAATGGAATATACTTTTTCTCCCCTTTGCTTCTTTTATGTATATGTTTGGGAACAACTTTCTAGCAGATTAAATCACATTTACTACTATGATGAACATAAAATTCTCTCAAAGTCCCCATATATGCATTTTATTCTGAATGAAAATAACATATGCCTGCTAGTCTATTAATTAGTAGTTTAAATCACTGGTGGCTATCTGCAAGCCTGTTAACAGCATGCAAACTGCAAAGTAACTCTGAGACCCACAGCACCCAAGACAGCACATTTTATCATTATTATGCATCACGGATTTCCAGACGCATCTGCATTTCCAAAGGTGGAAGGTACAGTGTATGGTATGTTACAAATTTCTGCCCCCAAGAAAATACAGCCAAAACCTGATTTTAGTAGAACTGTTTCTTTACCTGACTGCCAAAATATTCTCACTCATTTGTATCACATAGCAAATCTTAAAATTTATAAGCACAAATGTGCTGTTTAAGATAAGGACAACACACACATAAAAAGGTGTTCAAAACATAGGTATTTAAACAGAAAATACTGTAGAATCAAATAAGTAAATGATTAGAAAAAATCATGGCTGAAATATGAGTAGTTACCCAGGATAACACATATCAAGAGAAAAATGGAAATGTTCATCAAGAAAAAGTCTAATGGACAAAGCTCTAATACAAGGACAATGCAATGAAGGGAATAGGAAGACAAAATTTAGTTCCGATCATGGTACTCCAACCACAATGCCTACTTATAATAATACATCAGGGTGAAACAATTACATTTGCAGATTAGTTTTTACTCAAATTCTACCAAAAACTAACTAAATGATGATTTTTTTTTAAACTTTCAAGTTAAATTTCTAATATAACATGTCGAAGATTACAGAAACATCTCTGAAAATAACTTGGACTAATAATGGTTTCACAGATACAATATGATAAAAATTAAGGTAGATTTACTTAATACAGTAAAATCACCAATAATCTGATGCATGAAATTTGTTTACATCCTCAGACAAATCAGCATATTTATTCTTAGGCAACTTTCTATCAGCAAACCTTTTACCACTGAATGGCCTTCATTTTTTTATACAACAAAAAATTTCAGAACTTGTTATATTAGCCATTACTTGACAATATGTAGCCAAAAATACTACCCCTAACTCTCGATTCAGCAATTCTAGATGCAACTCCAAATTCTTTTACAAAGAAGAAATTTTAACTTTTTTTTAAATTTTCTCATAAATTTTCGGTATTTCCTTATTACTATGGCCACTGTTATTTAAACAGCACCAATAATATCAATGAATTGGTAATGTATGTAGCAAATCATTACAAATGGCTCGCAGTCCTAATCTTATTCATTTCTCATTTTGAAGAGCTCCAAGAACAGCATGTATTATCATTATATTTTTAATTCATTGTTTGTGTTTTTCAAAATAAAAGTTAATAATCTTTTATTTACCAGGAAATGTAGATTACATCATATCATTCTCAAAAGAAAAAGGTCATTTTACCTTCCATTAAATATATGAAAATGTTACTGAATTGTCTTAGACTAAGTTACTCACATCTGAATTTCATTGACTGTTAGACTGTTTTTGCTTAATTTTCAGCACTGAAGTGTTGGTTTGTCTGTATCACAAGTCATGCCTTTTATGTTCAAAGTTCAGACTAAATTTTTTTTTTAAAAAGTTATTTAAAACCTTCACCGGCATTTCTGAGTTTTTAAGATGTACCAATAATTTGCTAACTTGTCTAACAGGGTCTGCATGACTTAAATTCAGTTAACAGATCAATAGGAACCCTACACACTTTACATATGTTATGTATCTTACAATGTTTAATATGGAAACATGCACAATAAGTACATAAACTTATTTTAAGAAACAAAAACAAAACAAAAAAAAAAAAAAAAAATACCTTCAGACTTAACATCAACCTCAACAACAGGAAATTTGGCAAGAACATTCATGACATCACGATATTCATCATCACTAAGGCTTCTCAGCATTGCTCTTCTCTCATCTGATTTCATACATGCTAAATTTCTTAAACTGCGGATATTGCGCTAAGGTAAAAAAAAAAAAAAAAAGATCAGTAACTGTATTTACATTAATAATATTACAAAGATACCAGTTTAACATATTTCCAACTTCCATATTTATTACAATAAAAACTTAAGAGAAAATACAAGACAAGGTTAGGTGCTGATAAATTCATTATTTAGTTCCAACACAGATAGTTTACATTCACACTACAATAAAAAACATCTTTAACCCTTTGATGTGTGGTGGTCGCGCCTTGAAACCAGCAATTTTTTATTTTTTTCTTCTCTTCCTTCCGAAATTTTTGAGTGCAAATCAATTGATTACTGAGTTTTTACCTCTAAATAACACAAAATTACTGCAGAATCATACATGTTTTAGGTCTTAGTACTTCAAATCGGATGCCTTTTAAAATTCGTTTTCAATGAGACAAAATAACTCCCTTTTATTAATATAAACAACTTTAAATTTCAAAAGTTATTCATTGCACATCATGATTTCTATCATAAACAACAAAAAAAATAGCAATAATTAAACTGCATGTATAAAAAAAAACCTCTATATGTATGGCATTTGCTTTGTAGTTTCAGGGCGCGACCACTGCACCACTAGAGCATTGTGTTACAATGCTCACAATCCTCTTGAGGTTCAGTGGTCGTGCCTTGAAACCACTGCTCTTCACAATGGCGTTTGCTTGCTTCTCAAATAGGAATGTTTATTTTTACCCGGATATAGATAAGGGATTTTGAAACCAGAGTTATTTTATTACTAAACAATACATGCACCTGCCCAGTAAAAAGATCTTTCTTTTCCAGAGACATTTCTCTGACATCAACACACTTGCTCCCCAAGCTAGTATTGTGATTTTATAAATTATTTTCTGTGGTTTAAATTTAACGTAGATATACTTTGCTATAATTAAAACTAGAAATCGCATAGTTTTGTTTAAATTAAAAATATTTTCTGAATATTTTGGGACGAAATACGAATAAAATAAGTATAAATGGGAAAGGAATGATCAGTACCAAAGCCAAAAAGACCAAGCCCCCCCCCCCATTAACATAAAAAAACGACAAATTTCACATGCCAGATGAAAAGAAACTAAATAATGCTGGATATATACCAGTGAAATTTAGATCCAATCATTTTGTAGCACAAGGAAGAAACCTCATAGAAGAAGATATGTGTGCGAAACGTACAATGTGGCTCTATGCATGTACTAAAGAGACAAAATATGCTTTGAACAGTATCACAGAAAAATATTTGTCCTTTAAAAATTTAAAAAAAAAAAAAAAAAAAAAAAAAAAAAAAAACTTTTTTTTTTTTTTATCCTTATTTTACTGATGATTTTTATCCTTATTTTTTAATCCATGTAACCAAACTTCCTTATTATGTAGGTACTTATACTTTCATTACTATAGAAAAATTACATAAATGTTTATTTTTTAATTTTTTCTGATGATTTATTTTGTAAAATAATGTGAAAAATATATATATTATGCAATTCCTACATGCATTTTTTTTTAATTCATAAATTTTGCCATTTATTGGAAATGCGCACGGAGAAAGGTAAGTTTTTTTTCCCCCTAAAAGTCAAAGTCCTAAACGCGCGGTGGTTTCCAGTGCGACCACCACCCACAAAAAAATGGGCAAGAGTAGATTTTTTTAATTCATATATTATTTGTCTCTAGGATCATAATATTCAATTTCTAGAGTTTTTAGTTTAAAAAATTATAAAAATAATATTGCGCGCATCAAAGGGTTAAGATGTAAACATGAAATATTTTAATAAATCTGTTATTCTAATTAATGTTCAAAATTTTAAATGCTTTGGAGCAAAAATCACTGCAATTCAAGCTCAAGATATCCTTGTACATCAAAAAACTGCATTTGACTGTGGTATTTCTTGTGAGATTATGGGAAGAGTGGAAATTTCTGCATCTGCTTTGCTTATCAAATTTTAATTTTGCTTGGGAAATAAATCAAGGTTGTCCCTTGCAGTTCTTAAATTATTCCACACAGTACTTCTTTCTCCATATTCTGAATCACATCAAGTACAAAAAGCTCCAAAAAGCACTATGTTCCCTATGACAGTATTCAGCTTACAGTACACTTTTTACCTTTTATTTGCATATTCTGTTCTGTAGTGCACTGTGATTTGCCTCAAAGGGAAAAAAAAAAAGTGTCTGCTTCTATGGGAGAAAAAAATGAGAGCTTTGAAGCAACTCAACAAAAGTGAAATGTTTTAAAAGTTGCAGAAGATTATAATGTAAGAAAAACAACTGCAGGATACTGGAAAAGGAACTGAAATGAGATAGAAAATTGCTGTTGTGAGTGAACTGAGGCTATAAACACAGAAAAACAATGAAAATTTGAGAGTATAAAAAAGTTAAAGAAGCTTTGTTTCTTTGGTTTACTAAGCAGAGATAAAGGCGTCTCAATACCTAGGACCATTCTTACCGGATAATAAAATTCCAAAAGGAATTTAATGAGGATAAGCTAGTATAAACTTTATAACTAGTGTTAAGTTGCTCGATAGGTGGAAGAAAAAGCATGGAACAACTAACTGTACGAAAACAAAAACCTTCAGCAAATGAGTCGATCGAAAACTTCAGAGATGAAAGTTTCATACACTGCTGGACAAGGAAAGCTCAAATTGTAAACAAATACTTAACTGTGATAAGATGAGACTAAATTATAAAATGCTACTTGCTAAAAAATACTTGCAGCGACGTCTGAAGTTGCAGCACCTGGCTATAAGCAAAGTACAGAATGAGTAACAATACTTGCTTATGGTAGTACAACAGTAAATATTAAATTGAAACTTACTATAATAAAAAAAAATAATAAAATCCAAGAGCTTTCAAGAATGTACCCAAAAAATGCAAAAAAGTGCTTGAAATGAGTTCAGATATTTTTAAAGAATTATTTTTCAATGGCTTTGTGAAGCAGATTGACAAGTTTTTTAAAAAGAAAAGTTTGCCAAGAAAAGCACTACAGTATAAAGTCTTTAATCCGCACTCGTCAGGACTTCGGCGATTCCGGATTAGGGGTTTTTCTGGATTATAGACCATCAATTTAAATCTGGTAAGATGGTATACAGAATTAAAATAAAATATGAATCGTAATTTATGAAATAAGGGCAATTATGATCTAAAAAGTATCAAAATTTCAAAAAAAAAGTTTAACATATTTGTTATTTTATTAACATTCTTTCAATGCGTGCTGCGTAAAGCATACAGTACACAGCGAATTAGAAAATTGCACCAGAAAACTATTTGATGTGTATTGCGATATTTATAATGACGAGGAATTTGATTTAATCATATCAAAAGGAGACATGAGTGAAATACTACATTTCGTAAGGAATATAAGACGAATAAAAAAAAACATCTGGCCGAAGATGAGATAGTGCTGACAATCAACTTCCAGCATTGCGCGCCAGAACATAAAAATGTGTATCCTAATTGCGAAAACTACTATATTATTACAGACTAATCATGTTAACACATTTTTAAATCTGTCAAAAAGGTCTTGCATACTTACTTCAATACATGGCAGTCTGGATTCAAAGAAAAGAGAAAATTTAAAAGCTTTAATGCTATCCCTGAAACAAAAACAAAAAAAAAAATATATATATATAATAAATGTTAAATAAACCTTACAAAGAAGTTCATACTTTTCTTGTCATGAAATGACGTAGCATATCTTCTGTAACATGTGGTAGTTGTAAAAAGGGACTTTTGTTATCCCACAGTGCCTGGACTATACATGCACACAGCTTCATGGTATTTTCAATGGTATCAAGGGTTGGCATTCTAGTGACCCGTCCATTTAAGGCAAGCATGGTTAACTGTGATGCACATTGGACAAATTCTTGTAAAAGATAGGGACATTTTTTGACAATATATAATTTATCTGAAACAAGAAAAACGGTATTAATTTAATCTTCCTAAAAATCATTTAGAAATAATATTTAATCTAATAATTTTTTAAGATATATTTGGCACAAACCTTCTTCGAGTGCAGGTGATAACTTTAATCGTGACAAGTGCGCATGAAGAAGTACACGAGCTTTGATGCTGTAACCAAAACACAGAGGTTTTTCTCTATTCTTCTCTCCAACATTTGAAAGCTCTTTTATTAACTGTGGAATTTCAACATTATCACTGGGCCTTTCTATTATTTCACTATTATAAGCTCTATTAAATTCCATAGAGGCACCCAGTATCATAATGATTCCTAAAAAAAATATATATATACAACAATGATATAACATGCAATTTTTATTGATTTTACTTTTAATTTTATAATTCATTAAAGTACTGACTTTTAATAATCATGAAAGGTGTTTTATATAAGTAATAAAAATACATCTGGCTAGTGTCTAACAGCACTTCATCACCACCAAATTTGAGAGACTGGTGCCACCATATGCCCTGTAATCAAAATTAATAATTATTAATGATCAAATTCATATGTAAGCATAAATGTCCAATACTTAATAAATAAATATTTTCAATATATACAATTTTTAGTTCATATAACACACATTATGTTTTGAACTGTAACATTCTTCTGGAGAGATTGATAATTTTTATATGCTGATCAAAATATATTCAATAAATCTGATATATTTTGTTCTTCGATATGTCCAATAATTTAACCGTTAACCCCTTCGCGCCGACTGTCACGTCTATGTGCCAACAACGAACACACTCACCTACCGGTCGACACGCAGGCGTGTCAGAGCATTTTCCCGTTTACTACCGAATGTCACGTATTTGTGCCAGTACCCTGGAATGTTTTAGAAACTATAATTTCTGCCACAAGATGGCACTGTATGTCCATATGGTTTCAGATACATGTACATTAGACCTTCTACTCGAAATGAGAGAAGCATGACTCACATACATGTGTTTTTGATTATATAAACAAACGCGGAACTAAATGTTTCCGAATGGCGTGATTTATGACGTCTCTTTAAATCGCACTTTATTCGCACGTGGTAGTTGTTTATGTAATAGAAGTTTTCATATGCGCTAAAAAGCGTTGAGGATTTGGTTTACAGTTCAGTTTTTAGAAAATAAATAAATCTTGTTAGACGTGAATTCTTTCTGTTTTTACCGTTGCAATGTCGGAGCGTCAAAAATGTTTAACAGAGCATGAAATAGCAGAAATGATGCAAAATATTTCAGATATTGATTCTGAAATTCTGATATTGATTCTGAAAGATGAACTGAAAGACATTTTCCAAAACTTTGTTCAGAAGAGACTAATAAGAAAATGAGACGACGATGCTTCGTTTGTTCACATTCCCGGAAAAACCCTCCAAAACGGCAAATGAGTTATTACGAGTGCAAGGAATGTAACGTAGGACTGTGTGTAGATCCCCTGTTTTCAAATTTTTCATACGGAAAAGAGAATTTTAAGTAATATATTTAGTTTTCAGATGTATAATGTTAAAAGTCATAAAATGGTGAGTAATTAAAATAAAATGTGTAAAATATGCATTTAAACAAGAAATAAGGTAATTAAAGTATATATATAAAAATATTTATAAAGCATAAGCCGTTTAAATACTCTATAGAGCATTATTAAAGAATGCGTTGATACTTCGGAAATTTCATGGATTTAGGCCTAGTAGCAAAAAAGTCCCGGCCCTGGAGAGACACTCGCGGAAGAGACTGCCGGCCTCCATGATAAGTGTGCGTTTTCGCTACCCGGCTCGAAGGGGTTAATGAATAAAGCTTTAATTTTGAAACTGGAAGAGCGCACATTCATGATTGTGATTTAGCATCTCTTGTCAGTTAACTTAAAATAATTCTATATGATGGACAGGGAGGTAAGATTTTTAGGAATTTTTAGCAAAATCATCACAGTCCTCTTTTTTAAAGAATCAAAATAGTTAATTGATGTTTTAATGCAGAGTTAATTTTTAATCTGTTAGTTAATTAAATAATAGCACTCACAATTTCACTAAGACAAAAAAACTTTAATTACATGCAGGCAAATAGTAATCACATGATTAATTTTCATTTTCAATTTTTTTGGGGGGCTAATTTTTAAAATACTGAATTCAGAAGAAAAATTACTCTTAACATTTTAACATTTATGCAATAAAAATTTTTAAATAAATATTTTGAATAATCTCAGCATTTGAAAACCGAATAACTTATAGCCAGGGCTTCTAATTTATTAAGACACATATTTTTTTGTAACTGTCTGTTTTTGGTTATATTATAATAGATACCAGACATTTAATTTTATTGGAAATTTTGCTTTACTAAAATGTTGAACACAAAATGGCTACAATTACCAAACATTCGTTAAATCTGCACAGAAATATTCATAGTATTGAATTAATTTCTATACAGTGCTTTCATATGCACCCATATTTCCTATTATAGTAATGATAATTTATTTAGATATTTGTTTCATAATGAATAACTTATTCCTAAAAGAAAAATTATACCCAATATTTTATATTAATTCATAAGAATAATGCCTCAGTTTAGGCATTTTAAAATAAGACTTAATATTGCATAAATGTTCATATATCATGTATAAATAATAATTATTCTTTTGAGATATAAAAAGAAAGCCACGAAAGTACCAAGCATAAATATTTACTAACTAAAAGAAAACAGTAATTTAGATTTCTTTTAAAAAAATAAAAACTTTTATCATAAATTGGAAACTAAATTTGTAAAACTATCAAAAGCTTATTAATCAAATTATTCAAATTAAATATAACGAAAGTGCAGTAAAGTTTGATTTTGTAATCACTTTTTGTTTACATTTTTATACACCATCCATCAACAAATTTTTAATGCTTATTTCTGCAAAACTCACCACTCCAACTGGTAGAGCCACCATGAAAACAAGAGCATATAGTCCAAGGACCTTAAAATATAAAGATGAAACTTTTTAAACATGTAAAAAATTAGTACAGAAAAATAATAAAAAAAGAAACAAAATAATTGTGAATATAAGCACAAGAGGAAGTAACACTTTTTAATTCAAGCCAAAAAAAAGTAATAAGACAATATAAAAGAAATACAAATACTTGTCTTCTGTAGTGGACTGGGAGAGAATGCTGATTTTGCATGTTTCTGCAATTACTTATCTCCACATGTGCAAAAAACAGTTACTGATCTGCATGTAATTAATGGTCAAATACTGTTGATAAATAGTATCAGAATTCATTGACCAAGACAGCTACAATGATAATTATCTTTTATATAAAAAGTAAGAAAACTTAATTACCTTTTTGTCATTGACAGAGATGATAAATTCCCTCATAGCAGTTATGTCTAAGCAGTAAAAAAATTTTGCATTATGGAGTTATATCTACAGTGTGTGAGGCTAGAAGAAGCATTTTCAAGAAACAAGCTTTTCCATCACCTACCACTGGAGGGTTTTTAGCTTCATGAAGCCCTGTCCCTTCTCACTACATGAGAATTTTGGAAACAGAACTGAAATTGTTTAATTTGAAGCACTGTACAATTTTCTCATGCAATTTCTCTAAAGAACTGGTTTTCATTTTAATCAACTAATCAGATATCCCAAAAATAAAATTTCTGGGAAATGTTTCTTTCATCGTGTTTTTGAGGGTAGCTAGTAGGTGCAATACCAACTTTAGATGACACATACTTTTATTTTGTCAACCCTTTTACAATACGACATACATTACATAAAAGCATTCAATGAAAATATATATTTAGTAGCTATTCTTGAATACTACAGCATGCTGTCTAATTCATTTTATCTTATCAATGTAAAAATAAAAAGAGAGGCCAAATAACCTAATTCGACATTTCCTACATACTTAGAAATGTAACTAACTAAACTCTAAGCAGACATGCCAACAATCAAAAGTTAAAATTCTCTCATTCATGAAGCCCTTAGCACCATCTAGTGAAGGAAATACTTTACCTGGATTCCTAACACTGTGTTTGTGCGAGAAACAAACTGTTAACGATCAAACTATTTATTTCTAATTACACTATATCAATATAATGGTTTTGCATTGTAACATAGTCATTATACTTAATGTCTTCAATCTTCCAGCAATAGGGCAAAAAGCCATAGTTTATGTTGGAGGCATTATTAGCAGCAACTGTTAAAGTGTAGCTACCTCAGAGTCTCCAAAACATGAATTTTTCAAACATATGTTGCTTTTGACAATAAGAAAAATTAGATGAAACATTTAACACACAAAAGAACTTTTTTTTAATTATTATTCCCGCTTTTGTTATGTTGTTAATTTATTTAAGCTCCCTACTAATTGTATTAAATATAAAACAAAATTGTATTAAATATAAGAAATAGAATTTTAATAATAAATAAGATTTTCTGGCTTTTTTATAAGTTACTTTAAATAAATTGTTGATATAATTGCATTAAATATGATAATTAATGCATATATTAAAATAAATTAGTTAATTATGCTATTATTACCTCCATGTAATAGAGAATCTTTGTTAAATTCAAATTTCATTACTTGCAGCAATGGCCCAAAAGAATTATTTAAATTTAATTTATTATATTCTTGTGAAACAATTTATATATATATATATATATATATATATATTCATATTTTGAATAATTTATATTTTGTACATACTGAATCAATTATTGTTCACTGTACTCAATTGCGTTTCCACGCATGCTTGCACTTTCTTAGCCTGAATTGCACTACACCATTTACTCTTGCCAAGGTCACCACAGAAGACAGGTATTAAAATTTGCTCAAAATAATAATGAACAGAAACTCTTAAATATCATTCATATGGTGTTTCTTAAAACAACTACCTATTAATTTAACTAATGACCATTTATCAAAAAATATAACAGAAGAAATCTAGATTTCTTTTACATATAATTATAAAAATACACTATATTAGTACAGGCAACTTCTTTCAAAGCAGAATTTTGATTTCAAATGAGCAAATTTCTATTGCACAATTTAAAAGAAAAATTAGGTGCAACATTTAACACACAAAAGAACTTTTTACTTCTTTATACAAAGTAAAAAGGAAGTACTGTAATCGCAAAAAGTTTCAGGCAGCATATTTCAACGAAAATATCCATTTTGACTGCTATCGAATACAATCTAATCATGTTTTTGCATGATATCTGTACGTAACGACAGAATAAAAAAAACTCATTTCCTTCAAAAAAAATTATAAAACTGCTTTAAAATTAATTCTGAACAGAATTTTTCGTGGCGTCTGTACGAACGTACGTATCTCGCATAACTCAAAAACGAGTAGCCTCAGAACATTGAAATTTTGTATATAGGACTGCTATAATATGTAGATGTGCACCTCGTATTTTGGTTGCAATCGGCCGCACCAAACGTATATAAATATATTTATACATATATCCACTCTGTTACCCGGCTCAGTGATTTCAGTTTCTTTACTCTTATATGTTTGTAAATTGTACATTTTTTCTTTTAAAAATGATTGAATTATATTGTTTTTATCTTCCGATTAAGGTTTTTATGCCTTTAGTAAATCTGTATGCAATATTTTTAGAATTACCAACAATTTTAAAGTTGTTTAAGTGCCGCTAAGCCTTTTTTTTATTGTGGCCATTGATTGTTTACATTTGAAACAGCAGACTAGTGGATTTGTTGCCAATCTATAAAAACTTAGCTTTGCAACAACAAAGATAACACCTTCGTTTATTATTGCCAATTAAATCATGCTTAATTCTTTCTGGAATTTTTTCGAGGAAATAAGTATTTAAGATTTACTTCGTAATTTTTAATATAGATATTTTGAGTTTTTATGTATTTTTGCCTTCTTGCAAAGTGAAAACTGAATTAATTGAATGAGAAATACTCAATCGTCTGTGAAAAACTGTTTCTTTTTTGTTTTGTTTGCTTAATTTCTTTTATGCATCATTCTAGCTTTACTATAGTATCTGAATAGAACCTGTGGCAACGATTAGATAATTCTATTCTTTAAACGATATAAATTTTGTGCACTATGAGTTTATAATATGAACAAAATATAATACTGTTAAGTGAATCTAGTGCCAGAGTGTCGCTATGGTAAACAAATACTAGAGTTAATTTTAAAGAATGCATTTATTCTATTGTGGTTTATGGGCTGTCGGCGAAGTAGATTTAATTCAATCCAATAAGTTTAAATGAAATGCAAGAAAAAATGCATATAATTTAATATTTCGTACAAGGAAGTCGTGGTGTACACATCAGATTTTTTTAATTATTATTCATGCTTATGTTGTTAAATTATTTTAGCTTCCTACTGAATTTATAGCAAACTATTCAGCAACAAAATAACAGAAAACCTGATGGAAACTCAAACTTTGTATTTCACAAAATTCTGATGAAAACTTCTCTGTATGCCTGTATTTCAAACAGGAAATATTCCAGAGCCTTTGTTATCATAACTTCTTAAAAGGATTATAATTTAAAGAGTTTTTTTTACCAGTAAATTAATAAAATGTTTCAAGCAACAGTGATGTAAAGCCACATATGCCTACTCTAAAAAAGAAGTAAAATATTTCATGTTATATTCAAATACAGATTAAATTATTCAGATCAGAAACATTTAGCAGCATACAAACCATAAAAGAATTTTCTTCTGCAACAATTGAAGATGGTAAAGCAATTCCAAATGAAGTAGCTAGAGGGAAAATCAAAAGATTAGATTATACAATAATTCTGAAGGCCTATACATGCTACGAACACAATTTAAATTGTATGAAAAGAATGAACCAACATTACTATTTAAATTCACTAACAGAAGCTGGGGGGGGAACAAAGATTGGGAACTATGGGTTGTTGATTTAATTAAGATAAGACAGGCAACAGTATTTGTTGAAGTATGGATGCCTTTCTCAGAAAATGGACTCGTATTCATATTACACATGAGAAAAATACAAGCAGTCAGCTCAGTTGCCAGCAAAAATTTTCTATTATACATTGATTCTCATGGAAGTACAACAGTAGTGAAAAAATAGCAAGTGAAGTATACAGTCAGGAAGGAAGTCCTTTTGTAAATATTTTTTAAAGCCATTTTATAACTCAATTTGTTCATTTTTATATCCAGAGTTGTGCTTTTATTTTGAATACTGATTTAGTTTACCTAACAAATGAAATCCTCTTTTAGATTAAATTGCTTGAAAATAAGAGAAAAATTGTTAATTCAGATTTTTTTATTTGTTAATTATAATATGGGTTATTCCTCTTTTCCTGTGTTTTTTCTAACTTCCCTCTGATTTGAAGTTAATTATGGATATTTCCTTCCATATTATGTTGATGCTCCTCTGGCATGCATCCTGTCCATAAAAATTTATATCCCTTAAGACATGGTTTCTTTAACTGTGGGTACAGCAAGTGACCAAAATTTTAACAGTTTTGATATTTCTTTAACTCATTATAATAATTTTACAATTACCAAATATTTTTACACAATGTATCTGAAAAGATAAAGACAATACAGACAAAAAAAAAAAGTTTCGACGTATTCTTTTTATAACATAAACGTTCATTTTCCTTGCTTTGTCACTGTCATTTCGGCTGTTACTTATTTAAAATTTTCACATTGCTCTACGTCTTAAAATTAGAAATTAAAGTTAATGACCTAAAGCTGCAATAGTATATAACAGTACAAGTGAAAAAATTGACAGTTTCACTCACGCTCGTGCTCAATATTTATAGGGGGAGGGATCCCACAAAATTTTTCTATATATTATGGGGTCGTGAAAAAATCTCAGTGATAAAAAGGGATGGTGACTGAAAAAAGTTTAAGAAACCCTGCCTTAAGAAAAACAATTACTATTTCAAAACTAGTTAAGTTCCATCTTCTTTACAATTTACATATTAAAATTTTGAATGCAAAATAAATATTTATGTAATGATATTCATCAAAAGAACAAAAATGAGCACATCCCAAACTTAAGCTTGAATAAAATTTACTCGTGAAAGCAATTATTATGGCTTAAGAAACAAAACAAATTTCACAACAGAGAATTTACCTCCAGGCCCATCTGGATTGCCATAAATCTCAAAATTTTTTCGAGCTTCTTCATCAGTCAAGCTGCAATTAAGATTTAGAAATGAATATCTTAATATTATCATCACTTAACTCATAAGTCTATAATGAATATATTAAAATAAAAAATTAAGAAAAGATCTTACGCTGCATATGCTTTAGCTATCCTCATGAACTTTCTTTCATCACCTTCAGCTTTATCAGGATGATATAGTAAACTTAGACGTCTGTAGGCCTTTTTTATTTCAGCCATTGAAGCACCCTTACATAGAAAAATAATTTTTCGTTAAGAAAATTTCCCATTCGAGATCCCCCTCCCCAAAAAGAAACAAATATATATTATACTTACAGGATCAATTTGAAGTATTTCGAATGGATCATAAGCAACATAATCATGCTGTAAATGAGCCACTTTATAAGCAGTGAGAAAAAGGGATGTCCAACCAATTAGTAGAAGAAATTTTCTATATTAAGGAATAAATAATAAACATAAAAAGTGATATCAATTATACCAATTAGAATAGTACACCATAACATTTAGATAGCTACTTACTTAAGGAAGTCAATAATATATTTTATTAAAGTGAAAAATGAGAGTACAGATAATTAATAAAACTACAACTTTTATAATATATCAAAACGTAATAGATATATAAACCATATAAATGCATATGTACATTAAGTCTTTTAATGTTTCACCATGTCAAAAGTTTGATACCTATCACTATAAAGAAAATTCAAGACAGCAGCTCATAAACAGAAAGAAAAGTCAGTACTTTGCGACTATTAATAACCCTACAAAATAGCTGTTAGCTCTTTGGAAACTCTGTCAACTGGCAAAACAACATCGGTTTGAAGTGTAGAAGGAAGGCTTACTGCTACATTTAGAAGAAGCACTACACATTCTTGCTTCTCTTGCTCAATAGTTTGCAGTGCTACATATAATAATTCTTATCATCATAAAAAAAAAAATAAATAAATAAAAAATAAAAAAAAACCTTCAAGAGAAATAAATTTTGGATAAATTTTCATTCATCTAGTGAACATTCTCCTTCCTCATTCTCACCATCATATTTATCATTTTTTAAACATTATTTTTGTCCATCAACACTTCCGGAAGCTACAGCTTTTGTGAAACTATTAATTATCAATTAACTAGTGCCTGAATAATGAAGTGAAATAATTCATTGCATTTAATATAGGAAGCTTGCATAACATAATTATCCAAAAAATTCTGTGATTTTTAAGATTGTAATGCATGATTTTTAATTACTTGTTACTGCTGATAAGGATTGATTGAGATTTAAACATAGTCTCTTCTGCGCATAATTCTAATATGTATTGTGACAGTACTTTTTTTCAGAGCTAATGATGGAGATCTCAAAAGTTCATTTACATTATAATATGCTTTTATTTTAAAAAGTAAAAAATGCTAGACAAACTGCATGTTAAAATTTGTACTGTACATGGATTAAGTACTGCTTCAAAGACACAGTTCAAAGATGGTTTCAGAAGTTTAAGCATGAAAATTTCAGCCTGGAAGATGATGCCTGCTCTTGATGACCACTCTCCATAAATAAAGACTTATTAAACAAAGCTATCACTGAAAATCCATATTATACAGTTAAAAAAACTAATGATTTAAAAAAAAAGAATTTTACAGCTGTTGGAGAGATGGCAGAAAGTTACAGAACAGTACAGTGCTTAAGTGATTTAGTGAAATTTTTGGTACTTATGTATTATCCCGCTGACCGTGAAACTATCACCAAGCGCCACAATTTAGTGTGCATTTCTCTATATATAAGCGACTTAAGTGTTTGTCGCCGATAGTTTATTGGTTGCTTGCGTAACTGTAAATTGTTTTATTTCCCATGCAGTGCAGCGTGTGACGAATATTATGAGAAAGCTAAGCCAGAAAAATTTAAAATACAAGAGCACATGCATTTAACATTTAAAAAATAAATTTAACATCTATACCTAATAGAATTTGGAAGTATGCAACCGGCAAAAACCAGCAACAATGAAAAAACAAATAAAATGAAATATTAAATATCTTTATTATATGCGGCTTAAGTGTCTGTTTGTCGCCGATAGTTTATTGGTTGCTTGCATAACTATACTAGCCAATGGGGTGAAGTTGCCATGGCACAGGGTTGCCATTTCAATTGAGGCATAGAAAATTTCCCATAAAACTTGCCTTTGCTATGACCATCCATAAGTCTCAGGGCCAAACGCTTAAGCGTGTTGGCCTTTTCTTACCTGAGCCTGCATTTGGAAACGGTCATCTTTATGTTGCCTGTTCAAAAGTTCGTGAAAGAACGGGCGTAAAATTAAAAATAATGGATGGTCCTCTGCAAGGCAAGCTTAAAAATGATGAAAAGATCTACACAAGAAATGTTGTGTACAAAGAGATCTTTGACATGCGAATTAACATTTTATTATTTAAATCACCTTTATTTATTGAGCTAGCGGTGGCTCTTAAGAAATGTACTGCCAGTGGTTTCCTTCATTGCACTCTAAGCAATTAAGCAAGTAGAAGAGGGAAATCCTGTGGGGCAGTAAGCAAAGAGGCATCCTTGCCACTTACCCTGGACAATTCAGTTTGAATTAGCAGACACCTTCGCACAAATCATTTTAATTACAATTTATAATATCCAGAACAGAGGTCATTTTGTATGACTGCTGGGCTTTCTAGTTATAGATAATCATGATGCAACAAAACACTCAACATTAGTGCTTTCTTCTGATATAATCCTCATAAGCCAAGTTTTTATGAACAAGAGCATAAATTAACTGTTATTGCTGCATTTCTTTCTTGCATTTTGAAGGAAGAAAAAAAAAGATTAAAATTTGCAGTGTGCTGTGTTTAACATCCTTAGTAGTTTGAGATGGTAATTACTAATTGTGCTGTCATACTAAGAACACCTATACCAGTACTTTTGTGCAAAGTTCCAGAACTGCAGAGTGTTTCAGAAAAATAAATTTATCATGCTATTATTAGTTCTGTATGCATTCCAAACAATACGAACCCATATGCATGCAACAGGCTGTTCTAATACTTTTTTTTTTTTTTTTTTTTTTAAGAATATTCTTCCCCTTGATTATATTCAAGTCTTATGTTCATATCTTTAAAGAATTTCTGAATTACTTAATAACAGTAAGTTTAAGCATGACCTTCATAACATTCAAGACTTTCTAAAGGTTACATTTTTGTCATAGTAGATCGAAGAATGGTTGTAAGGTTGAAGAGCAATTTTACAATAATGACAAACAGTATTATTGTTGATAATACCTATTCTGTAAGACTAGGTGAACCATCATCAGACATACCAAAACTTTTGTTCTAGGGTGGCTGATTATTTCTCATTATTTACAATGTCAATCTGCAATGACTACAGTCAGCCTTGTAGGCTGAACTCTACTTTCATTCGAAATGTTAATTCACATTAAGAATAACAAACACAGAAAAAGGATGGAAATGTCACCTGAGTAAAATAAAGGGCTGTCTGCAAATTCTGATTGAAATTAAGGGCTTTAAGAACCGTATCTCAATTACAATTGCACAAGCTGATTATATTCAAAATATTTCAATCTTGGTCAAGTTGTTGGTTAATTCTCCTATAACTTAGATGGCAGTGTCTGCTGTTTCTCTAGCTTTTACAGAAATCGGCAAGAAAATAGAATCAAAAGCTTTCTTTAACAATTCCCAGACCACCATTATGAACTTTCTTTTGCGTCCCATGGTGGTAAAAAATCTGACTGCAAAGATTGTTCTCAACTCTTTCAGAATGCAGACAATGCATTATTTTAGAATACTTAGATTATCTGAATACAGGAAAGCATACAAGTGTTTTCTGATGGCGAAACATGCCTTCATGGGCAACTTTACATGGAAAACTAACTCCTATTCATATTACACATGAAGAAACCATGAAAAAAAAACCGTGCAGCCAGCCTGTTTGCCGAGTTTGAAGCCAAATCAAATTACAAGTGTTCAGTGATCCCAATTATTTCACCACTGGTAGACTTACTTTACAACAGATCCCCAGCCATTATGGCATTTTTAGAAATAACCTGGATTATGGATTAAACAAGATTATTTCTGACTCAACACATGCTTGTTGATTTTTGTATCATTACGGTAGTTAAACCCAATATCAATCTATATCTGCAAAACCTCTTTGAAGAATTAACTACGAAGAAGTCCTGTGCTTCCTTTTGAAAAAATTCTGTTCCTCATAACCTTCCCACAGCTGTGGATGCAGAAAATTTTCGTCTCAGAACTGGCCAAGGTTGCAAAATTACCTCCATCATACGGGTCTGGTAAACTCAACAATGTACCCATTATATGACACGACTGGTGATCAACTGCACAATTACACACTGCAGACAGTAATTTCGCTGATGTTAACGTCTTGCTTGTTTCAAAACTTTAATGGGCTGCCTGACATAAATGTAATGTCTGAAAATCCAAAATTTGGTATTAAGACTGAAAAAAGAAAAGTTTCCTAAACATGAAAGACAATTTTTCTTTTCTTACATCCCAATGTGGTATTAGGTAGTTTCAGGTATTCATTAAAAAGAGGAGTGAGACGAGATGCTTTTCACTGTTCCTAGATCTGCACGACAAAATTTTAACCTTTTCAAAATACATTTGCTTTTCAGATTTCTCAATAAATCAGTAACAAAAAGTTCTCACACCCAGACAAACTGCACCCTAATACAGCGGCCCTATCCGAGCTCATTGTCCCCTCTTTGCATCCATCTTCTAAAGCAAAAGTTAGCAAGTACATTGTAAAACAAACCTCTCATATCAGTACTGATTATTATATATTAAGGTTTATACAGGGTTCGTACACATTTCTGCACACGGAAATTAAGTACTTTTAAGGACCATTAATGAAAAAAATTAAAGACCTGTGAGCAAATAGGAACTGAATAATTTCAATTAAAAATATTATCTATGCCTGAATTTCACTTTCGTAATACCATCCTAAAAATAAAATAGATCCCTAAGTAGTATGCATTATTACTAAATATGAATTAATTAACATAATTATTAATAAGTTTGAGAATAAAATAAACTTTATGCAATTTATCAAGTAGCATTAAATATTTTACACTTAAAATAGTTAGACATATTTGAAGAAAATAAGCGACATTTATGTTTTCCTAACAGTTAGCTTTTTATGTTGATTTTTTTGCATGTCTCATTTTGTCACATACTTGGTCAGTCTAGAGGTTTAGTAAATAGCAGGTAGATTTTATGTCAAACGGCATAGGTTAAAATGAGAAGTAAGATCATAATCAGCATGATTCATAACAAAAGACTAAATGTTGTCACTGCTACTGCTTGTCTAGAAAGACATGCTGATTAGAACAAATCTGAAAGGCCTGATGTAGGCACGGTCGGCAAGTGCTGAAAGTTAGTCAGGCTCTATTTGATGCAGTTAGTGTCTTAGGTTTTTGTATAGAGTTCCAGGAGTTGTAACCCAGTTAATATACTTTAAGACTTCAATAAGCCATTAAAGTACCAGAGGTGATAAGTTGTTTTGTATTATTTTATGTCTCATTAGATGCGAAGAATAAGTTTTACTTGAATTTTTACAGTTTTATATTTTATCTTGTGACCCCAGTGAGTATTAATGAAAGGCAATAACTCGCTTTAACCACTTGCGTTACGACTAAACTTCACGGTTGCGGTCCCGTGTGCTACAATATAACTAAGAATTTACTTGATCTGTTAAAAGTTAAATAGTCCAAAACCCCCGACAGACGTGAAGCATATTATTGCTATGTCTGTAAGTAACTACAATATCAGACAAAGATATATCAGACAATATCAGAAAAGAGCATTTATACGAAAATTGTGGCATTTTTTTGTCTTAAACTCAGTTTTATGTTATTGCCTTTGGTCAAAGAAACTGCTCCAAAATCCCTGCAGGAATATGGTATCTTGCCACAAACTCGCTTAACGGAAGCAATTGCTTTTAATTCATTTATAAATTGATCGTTGTGAATTTACTGCGAGAATAAGAGAACAAAAATTTGCTTATAAAGCAAACTTATTGATTCTCAGTATACATACATATTATCAGCATATATATAGTATATACATTCAGTATATATACATAATTAAAAAATTAAAATATAAAATACGTGTGTATATTAAATATAATTTTTTACATTTATAAGGCATCATTCGTTTTCTCATATAAAAATATCCAAATTGAGCCAAGACGGTTGTGCTAAGTACCCATTTTTCTTTTTGACACGCTGCTAATGGTGCAGACTTTAGAGCTTTCTACAGCTGTATCTTTCAAAAAGAAATCTTTGTGCATTTGTGATGAACTGTGTAACTTGGAAGTTTTTTATCGTTGTAACGAAAGTTTTCTGCCAAAAAACATTCTTAATAAAGTTAGAAAAAAAACATGAGGTTAATCTTTAGATTATGGTAACTTGGCGTATTTTGGCGACCAACCCTTCTACAGCAACCTGCTAGTTTTTGTTTGGACATCATTTTGTTTTCACGAAGTAAAGGCATGTATTTTTTTTACTCAACATTTTTTTCCAACAATCTGCTAGCCGAATTACGCTTATGCTAGAAATTTTATTGAATAAAAGTGCTTAATCATGACGAAGATTAGGTGCGAAATTGGGAGAAAGTGCAGAATCGCAAACTGCTTGCCGCATTTTTAAGAATTGCACATACACGGTATCCATGTACACGTCGACCTATTTTCACTTAAAAAAACATCCTAGAATTGCACAAAAATGGCATTGCGCACACTCTTGACTTTATCCATGTGCACTGCTAAAGTCCTAGCTAGTAACCTTTATCGCCTTACCAAAATGTCGCCAAACTGCTTGTTACCATATTCCAAAGATTAGCCAAACATGAAAGCAGTACCCTTAGTGCAGATAGTAATCACCAGCTAAATAATCTATCGTTTTCTGCCAATGTTTGGGTAGTTTTTCAAAGCCTTTGTGGCCTCAAGTCTAAAACAGATCAACTTCATTCGATGTGTGCAAAATAGAAGATTACACCAGCAAGATATAGCTGCAGATGTGAAAAAATGTAGAATTCTGAAGAAGCGAAATCAGGGCTACATGGTGGGTGTGGCAAAAGATCTCATCCGCATCCGTACAGAGTCCAGCCGATGAATGCAGACACATGAGGTCTTCAATTATCTCGATGGAACATTACTTCTTTGTGCCAGAACTCGGTTCGACATTTTTCCTTGATAGCCAAGTCAACATAGACTAGCATCTTGCTCTATACCTTACTGTTGAAGGTTTCACCTTTTTCTAGATACACTTTGTGGATAATACCACAGCAATTGCGCCAAATATAAAGCATGATCTAGTCAAACTGTACTCTGTGATGCTGTCAACAGGCTCACCGGGTGTAGAATAACCCCCTTTTCGGCCTATGTTGTTAATGTAAATCCATTTTTCATGACAAGAGACGATTCAGTCCAGAGTTTTGTTCTTACATTGAAAGTTGGGCAGATTAGTGGGGCAGACGTATTAAGGCCTGCACTAAGGCCAGCAGATAAGGTTATCTGCTTGAGCAAGCTCATACGATTGAACTTGTACCAGCAACTGAACTTTTATGTCAAATTTATTCAATGTATAATGCAACTAATAGAAATGGAACTAACGTCTAACTCCTTAGCAAGCTCTCAAGTGGTTGAATACTGATCTTCTTCCACAAGTTCTCGTAGGCAGGCCTTGTCAACATCAGCAGACCAGTCAGCGCACTCTGCTTCCCTAATGTCATAATCCTAGTTTTTTAACTTTTATTACCAAACCTTCACAGTGTCATATGATACAACATTAGTACTTAAAGCCATACATATGATTTGGTGACATTCTGTAGCAGACTTTTTGCAACAGAACTGTAAGTAAATAATGGTTCTAATAATGGTAACATGGTAATTCTATTTCTGACACCTCAAGCAGATAAGGGCAGACGTATTATTAATGATATTTTTTACAAAATTCACAACACATTGTTCTAAAGCAAGTCTCTTTCTTTCAAATGGCAAAAATCGTTTAACAAAATATGATTAAACATTAAACACGAATTGCTTGCACAGATGATATTTGTGGTGGTGAGATACTTTGGCTTAAAACCTGATAATTTGAATGACCTGCTGAAACCTTGCACAATCAGTGAATATTTATCAGCTTTTTCCAGATACTTTACGCAAACTCTGCAATGTTCAATGCCATTTTCATTTTAACCACTGAAATTCATTGCAACTCTGTTTTCTGAATTGCTTCTAGTTTTTGCCCTTTTCAGCACCATCACAATTGATATCAGTATCACTTCCTTTACATTCACTTTTGTTGACTTAGCACAGTCTGTTCAGTACATTCACGGCCACACTACATAGAAGACTCGCGTTACAAATCGGTTTTCTTAAAAAATAACATTTTAAAAAAAATTTGGCTAATCTTTGGAATGTAGTAACAGGCAGTTTGGCGACATTTTGGTAGGCGATAAAGGTTACTACCTAGGACTTTGGCAATAATATGAGAAGTACCGAGTTCCAATTACGCATTATTTTGAGTGAGAGAAATGAGAGATCATGAGATATGTCATGCGACATTTATGGACAAATTACAGTTGTTTAATCGGAAAAGGGGGGAAATTTGGAAAAATATCTGCAGTTCTTTATAGCATTTTGTATTTAGGTTCATTGTGTGTTGTGTGAAAGAGTGTTTCTTAATTTTTGGATCCCATGGCCCTATGTAAAGTGAATTTGAAATTTTTATTGCATTTAGCATTTGGTATTTAGCTTCATTGTGTGTTGTGTGAAACTGTTCATTAATTTTTGGATCTCATGGCCCTATGTAAAGTGAATTCGAGGAAGGATATTACTGATAAGTTTGAATGGCGGTGCAAGAAATCTGGTGAAAATGGACATATGAATACGATTGAGGGCACGTGGGGTGCTATAAAAAGTGCTATTCGGAAGTATTATGATAGGAGAATTTTGCTTTTTATTTTGGCAGTATGGCGGAAAAATTACCAGAAAAAATCATTCAGTGATTTTATTGAATCCATAAAAAACGTTTATCCGCTATGCACTCAAGATTCTGAAGAAGATTAGGTAAGTTAGTATTTTTAATCATTTGAGGATATTATTTTTTATGCACTGTTCTAAATGTAAGGAAATAAACTAATATATGGTATTATTGGAAAATTGTTATTAGCAATGAATTAGTTTAAAAGTAATTAAGATTTGAAGCTAATTTTTATTAATTTAATGTATGTGTGTTTATTTATATTTTAAGTAGTTTTTTTAATTTAATTATATTTTAATTAAATGATAGTTATTTTGTGAATTATATGTTTCTAGCATTTTGGAATACGTTTCAATAGAAGTAAACGTGCATGGAAATAATTTAAATATTTGACACTAAGTATTTGCAACCATTTTTAATGTTTGCGTTATAAATTGGCATTTATAATAGATAATTTAGAGGTAAAAGTTTTTGGATATTTTATTTATTTTATACGTGCAAATGTTCATCCTTGGAAAGGGTATATATTTTTTCGCGATCAGGTAATTTCATATATGTGCTTTTTACCGAGTTTAAAGATTCACAAAATTTTCCTGCATTTTCGTGCAAGTTTTTGTAATTTATGAGAAAATAGCAGTGTAGATGGATAAAGTCAAGAGTGTGCGCAATGCCATTTTTGTGCAATTCTGGGATATTTTTTTTTTAAGTAAAAATAGGTCGACGTGTACATGGTTACTGTGTATGTGCTATTCTGAAAAACGCGGCAAAGAGTTTGCGATTCTGCCCTTTTTCCCAATTTTGCAGTTAATATTTGTCATGATTAAGCAGCTTTGCTCCATAAAATTTCTAGCATAAGTGTAATTCGTCTAGCAGATTGTTGGAAAAGGTGTTGAGTAAATAAAAAGAAACATGTCTTTACTTTGTGAAGACAAAATGGCAGTGAAAAAAAAATAGAAGGTTGCTGTAGCGGAGTTGGTCGCCAAATTTTCGCCAAAAATCGCCAAGTTACCATCCTCCAAAGATCAACCAAAAATTTCTTCAAGCCATGATCATTGAAAGAAAAAATTTGCCTGAATTCACTAGCAAGCATGTTTATCATGACTCAATTAGCAAAGCACCACGTTGTACACTAGTCACAATGACCATGTTGAAAGTATCATGCACATATACATTTCAACATTGATTTCATGCAGCAAAATAAATATCATAATTTCAAAGTGGAAGTGGTTGATGTATAATTACTGAATATAATTACTTGTACATTTTCATCACCAAAAAGAAAAAAATACATACATAAATCTCTCCTTAGCTTTTCGTAATGGTTCTTTAGAACGTAATCTGCTATTTGATGCAATTCTCACAGTGGCAATCAGAATGGGACTTAACTTTTTGTTGTTCTTCTGTAAAATAAATAAGACACTGCAGTTTTAACATGACAGCTCCATATTGTCATATCAGATCAGATCATACAGATAAAACTATTAAATCTTTAGCAGTTACACTTAATTATTTAATTATAACAATATTTTAAAACATCTCACACTTTCAGAAAATAAATTACTACTAAAATTTTCAATAATTCCTTTAAGTATATTTATATATTTAACACATTTCCTTATAAAAACAGATTTAAAGACTTGAAGTGTTCATTTCAAATGTTTGGGATCCCCCTGGAGTTTCATAGATTTAAATATCCTTGCAGGTTAATCTGCACCAAGCTTCAATGCTTTAAATACAGATTAACTTAAGTTCCAAATACGAATAAAATACTGAAGGACTAGAAAATTCTGCACAAAAAATATGAGAGAAACTAAAAAAGTTGGTTATAAGTGAATTTGATCCCTACAAATCGCTCCCAACTTAATGACATCAGTAACAGATTCATAAATTTATCCTCAAATGAAAAAATATGAGGAAGAATATTTCTTGACCACTTGTTACATCAGTTTCTTTTAAACTGCATAAAATACATATTTTTAGCAGTTTAAAAAGCATTTTTAAATTTCCAATTAATGTTTTAAAGCTCATTACGGATACTGCTTCGGTGTTAAAAAAATAATAAAATAAATAATGGTTGGCGATTCTTTTGCTAATTTGAGGTAAAAATGGCCCTATTCTTTGGAATTCAGCCGAACATGATAGAGTTACTAGTTAAAATGTTACTATCTAATTTCAGCGTCATATGCTATACGAATTACTAACAGAATTATTAAGAATTCTCTGATAGGTTCAAGTAATTTTATAACATGCTACATCACTTGATATATTTTTAATGAAATTTCAATTTAAGCTCTTAAAATATTGTGTACGTTTCTAGTGAATAGCATCTCATGATTATGACACATCGACTGCAAATCTGAGGTGGCATTGTATTTACCCACTTTGTTTTTCTTTTTAAACCGATGTAGTCAACAGAAGCAACAAACTTAAAATAAACCATCCACTTAATCATAGTAAACATATCGAAATTACGAACAAAATTCCAAAAATTACACGTCGGCATATTAGCATATACCTCACACGTCGCTCTTTCACCGTTAAAAGCCATAATAATGATGAATATAAACTTACTAGATCTAGGATAGAAATAATATGTGCAAGGGATGACAACTAATGCTTCAAATGACAGTAAAAAATAGAAAAAGGTGCCACCACTTTCATCATATTGGAACTTAGATCCACCAGGCATCTTGAACAATATGCACGCACTTCACAGATATGTGACGGACTAATAACATTGCCAGATGCACGAATCTTCAGTGAGACGTACATACTCTTTGCCAGATACATCACATAAAAACACAGATAGGTACACCAGTTTTGTGCAACTGGTGAACAACAGAATTAAAGAAGGAAATTAACGATTCCGAAATCATAATTGCGAGATTTGAGGAACATGTTACCTAGGAAAATGGTCTCTAGTATTAGATCATAATGATTCAAACAAAACTTGCAAGAAGATTCTATTTCTGGGTATATATAAAAGTCTCAAATTCAAAAATACAATTAAAAAAAGGAACAGTCATAAATGGTTGGTAGAAAACAAGAACCGTGTGAATACAAGAATCAGTAATCTGCTTCATCTTTCGATAAACTCAGTTTTTCTAGTAACTGATTTATCGAGTAAGGGCTCGTTTAATCTGCACTTTTGCGAATACCTCATTTTAAGACTTGCGTATAGTTAATATTTTTTTTTTTAATTAACCATTTATTTTGAAGGTTCTTAAAATGAGAGTCCCTCGCAATTGTGAGATGCGGATCCCTTAAATCTGCCTTTGTAGAAGAGACGTTTCGGAAGAACCATTTTGACTATATTTGAAGTGTATTGGATCAACACCGACTCTAATCCAAGCCTAAGCGCGCGGTTCGAAAATTCCTGTGACGTCACGACTTCTGGTCATAATAAACTTCGGAACGCATGTAGTGGCTCTTTGCTGAAGCTTCTTACGTTGTGCGAACGCTGAACCAGAATACTTTGATTTTTTTATAGTTTTAAGGTTAGATGTATTTTAGAGAGGTAAGAATACATTACTTTACTTCTGTAAATTTATATTTTTCTAATTATATCAACGTTTTTAGGCGTATGTTCTAGTACACATGTGTTATTTCTGGTAGAGACAAGGCTGCTGTGCTATGTATAATTTCTTTTTGAATAATGTTGTGTCTGCCCATCGTAGAACAAACGGGCTTTGCATAATTATATTACCTGATCTGTTTCAGAATAAAACATTCTTTTTTTTATGGACCTGTATAAATTTGATGTTATAATACAAGCTAACACAGCTTATTCTTAAAATTTTACATGCCATTAGCTATACACTATAACTATTTACTCCCTTTTATATTTAAAAATAATTAATTTATATTTTATACATAACTATTTACTCCCTTTTATATATTAATTTAAATAAAAACATTTCAGTTATTAAAATGCCGGGTAGATGCTGTGTACCATTATGTAAGGGAAAAAAACTACCCAACAGGACCAAAAGTGTCTGTATTCTCCTTTCCTAAAAATGAAGATTTGAAGAGAGAGTGGCTTTCTGCAATCCAACGGAAAGACTTTTTCACCCAAAAAGAGTTCAAAGGTAAGTAAAGTAGAGTTATTAATTAACAGTGTAGATTCTAATTACATATAAGGGTTCATTCAGAAATTTTTAAATGATAATATTTTGTTACAAAACCAGGATATACAGAAATAAAGGATTGAAATAGAGCTTTAATCACTGCAATATTCTCTGGTTCTATCTGTAAATGAATATTCTTTACTACAAAAAATGCTCAGAATGAACCCTCTGATTTTTAAAAACTATTACTATTAACATAATGTTTTTTTTTTTTTTTTTTTTTTTTTCTCTAAAGGTTTGTGAATTGCATTTCAAGGAAAGTGATTTTAAAGTTGAAGCTTCAGCATTTGATTCTAAGAATGGAATTTTAATTTCTGCTCCACTTCAGGTGCGTAGATTAAAAGAAAATACAGTGCCATCGATATTTAAGGACTATCCATCTGTATACAGTTCAAAAAGTAGCACCATTGTACGAGAAGATCCTGATGCAAAAAAAAAAACTGCCCGCGAGTGCCATAATTTACAGAAAGCATTGCGTGAAAGCCTTAAAGAATATGAAATGTATAATAATGATTTGAAAATTAATTGTTCTAATGATATTTTGTCATGTATTGATCGCTATGGAATATCAGCATTTTGGCATGTATACACGGTTCCAGATACCTCAACTGTTTGCTTTATTCATATTGTTTTTAGTCCTGGGCCATCAATTGATTATTCTGTAGTTGTGAATGACAATCAAGAAATGTCTGAATTTATTAAAGAAAAATCTATTATGCAATTATCTCCTTACACATTCCCACATAAAGTTACAAATTTTAATGAAATTAGGACTGTTTTAGATAAATTGGCTAATCTTCAAACCAAAGAGTTAAATTCAAAATTAACCATAACAAACTAAAAAAAAACCAACCATGCAGCCAACATGTTCAGAAAAAGAACAGAAAATGTACTCTTAGCATTCAGTAACCTTAACCATTCAGCTACTCGTGGGTCTAACTATTGTTCTAAGAGATAAGCAACAATTTTTCAGCAATAACTAATGTACTTTTTCAATGACAGAACTGAACAGTAAAAACTTCTTAAACTGTCGATTCAGATTCTAATTTAGTTTCTTCCTTTTAAAAGCAGGAGCTTCAAAACTTTTTCATGCTGCTTTTTATTTTGAATAAGCTTCTTGAAAAAAAAAAAAAAAAAAAAAAAAAATTCCACGTGCAGTCAAACATTTTATGATCTTTGTTTTGATATTGTAACAGGAGGGAATATTTACCTCATCTGCTTTTGCATATTTATAAATTCTTCATCCATAGTTATATTTCCACATATTATTTTGTCTCGAAAATTTTGAATTATTTTTTCACATAGAAAGCATAATTTAAAAATTTCAGGAGGACTTTTAAACCCCACCTAAATTTGCAAAATTAATTAATTAATACTGCTAATTAAAACATATTTCCTGTTCACACATTGAAAATAAATTTAAAGTAACTATAGTTAGAAATACAACATGAAGGTTTACTATAACATAAAAGCATGATAATAGGATCAAAATGATGCATAGAATATTTAAATTAATACTTCTTCAAAATGCCTAGAAAAATACACAATTTATTTATCTTAATATAACGAAAAACCTAAATAATTTATAATTTAGATCATAACTATGTATCCAATTTTTAACAAAGGTGCAAACCAACAGGTTTGGTGACAATACATCAAAATATAGCATGCGACTTTAAATTACCAATCGTAGAGTAAAATTGAAACAAGGAAAGGCATATCACATTTCTAACCAAGCACAAAATTTACATGAGTAAAACCAGGCGTGAAACACGGAAAGGCATATCACATTTCTAACCAAGCACAAAATTTACATGAAATGTAGTGTACAATTTTACAAACAGCATAAACTATTCACGATAATAAAAGAAACAACATCACAAACAGTATCGGCTATAATTTACTGCACAAACACACACACATTCCGCAGTTTATTTTGTATTTATAAAATCATTTGATCATCAATAAATGATAGTTAAACGAAAATGCACGTTTTAAAGAAATACAAAGAGTAATTTATTCTAACATTCTATGCGGAAAATTCGAAGCTGAACTTACCTCAAAAACAGGCTTTTGAGACCGGAATCCATTGATTTTGACGAGAATTAATTATCCATTTTCTTCGTCTTTCTTCATTTTTGGCGAAACGTCCTAAACTTATTTTTTGAATGATTGGAACAATTTGATGCAACACATCCACCCATATTTGTCAAAATTAAGTCGGAATCGACCAACAAATATGTCAACAAAAGAACACTGTAAAATAGCGATAGCAACAACCACGCTTCGTTCGTTACAACGGACGACGCATCAAATCCCCGATGACCACAACTTGTGACGTCACAAAACCGCCATCTGGCTTGTAGTAGAGTCGGTGTTGATTGGATAGACTTCGGCATAGAAAGGGTCTAAAATTACATTGCTGGCAATAATTCATTTAGCCTACTAAGATGGGGCAAGCTAGAATGATGTATAAAAGAAAGTAAGCAAACAAAACAAAAAAGAAACAGTTTTTCACAGACAATTGAGTATTTCTCATTCAATTAATTCAGTTCTCACTTCGCGAGAAGGCAAAAACACATAAAACTCAAAATATCTATATTAAAAATTACGAAGTAAATCTTAAACACTTATTTCCTCGAAAAAATTCCAGAAAGAATTAAGCATGATTTAATTGGCAATAATAAACGAAGGTGTTATCTTTGTTGTTGCAAAGCTAAGTTTCTATAGATTGGCAACAAATCCACTAGTCTGCTGTTTCAAATGTAAACAATCAATGGCCACAATAAAAAAAAAAGGCTTAGCGGCACTTAAACAACTTTAAAATTGTTGATAATTCTAAAAATATTTCATACAGATTTACTAAAGGCATAAAAACCTTAACCGGAAGATAAAAACTACATAATTCATTCATTTTTAAAGCAAAAAAACGTACGATTTACAAACATATAAGAGTAATGAAACTGAGATCACTGAGCCGGGTAACAGAGTGGATATATGTATAAATATATTTATATACGTTTGGTGCGGCCGATTGCAACCAAAATACGAGGTGCACATCTGCATATTATAGCAGTCCTATATACAAAATTTCAACGTTCTGAGGCTACTCTTTTTTGAGTTATTCGAGATACGTACGCACGTACGTACATACGTTCGTACAGACGCCACGAAAAATTCTGTTCAGAATTAATTTTAAAGCAGTTTTATAATTTTTTTGGAGGAAGCGAGTCTTTTTTCGTCCTTATTCGTACAGAATTACGCAAAACATATTTAAATTAATTGGGCATAAAAAAATATTTTCGTTGAAAATTGGTCAGAATTTTTCGTTGAAAAAAAAAATAAATGCTGCCTGAAACTTTTTTTCGCGATTACTATACTTCCTTTTTACTTCGTACAAGGAAGTAAAAAAAGGAAACCAAAATATATGCATGTATCGAATGATGAATGATGACTTTTATGCAGTCTGAAGCATTACTAAAAATTTCATTGATAAAACTTTAAATTAATTTTATGTGATCTACTCGTGAATTTAATAGTATTTAGTAAGTTTTCCAAAGTAAAAAACTAATCCCAAGAGCGTTAGTGTTTAGTTATTTCATTAGATATGTAATACAAATAAGGGCTTTTTTCACAGAGAGTTTCCAACGAAAGAAGAAATGTTCTTAATTATCTAGCGTAGGAAAGGATATTAAGAAAAAAATAGTATATTCAGGGCACCTAAAATTAAAAAAAATAACGGCATGAGTGCATGCAATTGGCAAAATATATTGAACTAAAAGGTATTATATGTTAAAAATATTAGGAAAGACTTCTGGATGAGGACATGAAATAGTGAATATGTCCTAAAATTACACATGAAATTTGTCACTTCATTGCAAAAATTCCGTATCTATCAAGCTAACTTAGAGATAATTGGGACTCAAAACTAAACAATGGTAACATCAAAGACTTTAAAAACATGCGTTCAAATATAAATGGTATTAAAAATTATATAAAAATATCTGAATATGCAGAAAATAATAAAGGTTAGAAATGCCAATGAAATTAATAATATTTCCGAAATAAAGTGAAACAGTAGAATCAGTCATGGTGAGACTACTATAGAAAGATAAATTGTAGAATTGGCAATTTAAAATAGTTCTATAAAATATAGACTAAGCAAGGGTTATTCAATGAATTGGATGTGAATAGTAATTAACTGTTATAAAATATAATGCTTAATTGAAAATATCTCAGTTCTATGCATGTTTAAGAAGTTTAAACATGCAAAATTATGTGAAAAAATATGTAAAATTAAGTTAAAGGGTAAAATAAATATGTGTTAAAAACAGAAAATATAATAAATACGTTAAAATTAAGGGTACAAGGAAAACAAAAGTGATTAAAATGTTAGAAAATTACATCTAAAAGTAAATACAATTCACGCAAATAACGTGAAAATAAATAAAAACTTAAAGTAGGTTGAAAATTACGATGGTTTATACTATGTACGAAACAAGTTAAAATTACATCTAAATTAAATAAAGTTCATGTATATGATCAGAAATTATATGAATTAAGTTAAAATTATGAGTATATTGAAAATTGCGAAGGTTAAAATGTATGAAACAAGTTTAAAATTATAGTACTTTAAAAATTCTGAAGGTTCAAAATGTACGAAACAAGTTAAAAATAACATCTAAAATTAAATAAAGGTCATATAGTATGTGGTCAGAAAATAGAGGAATTAAGACATGTTAGAAATTGCGAAGGTTAAAACGAATGAAATTAGTTAAAAACGTATGAAAGTCGTGTACATAGTGTGAAAATAAATAAATTAAGTTAAAATTTAGAGTATGTTGGAAACTAAAAACGTTAAAAAGTAGAAAAGAAGTTAAAATCTACATCTAAAATTAAGTAAATGTCAGGTATATGATCTGAAAATAATGGAATTGTGTTGAAATTAAGACTATATTGGAAATTATGAAGGTTAAATGTATGAAAGAAATGAAATAAAGGTTTTGTGTATAGCGTGAAAATATAATAAATTACTTAAAAATTAGAGTATATTAAATATTATGAATGTTAAAAATGTGTAAAAAAGCAAAAAATTTTACATCTAAAATTAAATATAATAAATAGAAACGAAAATCTGAATAATTATGCTCGTAAAATGCAACAAGTGATTTAAAAGTATTGGCTAACAAAGATGAAAAAACTTTTGGGTAAAATGGAATTTAGTAATAAAAATGGGTAATGTAATTAAGATTATGTAAAGTAAATGTGGTATTATGAACAGAAGATTTAAGAAATAAAGTAAAATTCTGAGTGTAAGGGAAATTGTAAGGTTTAAAATATACAGAAACATTTAAAAAAAAATTTACATCTAAAATTAATGCCTTCTGAAAAAAATCATTAAATTCGAAAATAAGCGCAGTTAAGGGCACATGGGAAATAAGCATTGTGTGCGTAGTAAAATAGCTGAAACACGAAAAAAATATATATATAAAGGCTAAAAATTGATCAAGAAAGAACTTCCCGAAAATCAATAAAAGATAATCTCTTATCAAAGTGTGACGTCATTTCATCAGTTAAATGAAGAATCCTGAAACAACCCTCCTTAACTGCTGCGCCTCCGCGTGCTGGCTCATCCGCAATCCGCCTCCGCAAACTGCCTGCGAGCTTGAGATCCTGCCCGTGAACCGGTACTTTCACACTACTGACGCACCCCCTTTTTTATGGCACATTTTTGAAGGGTAAAACTTTATTACTGATCATTATAATGAATTTAAATTATTTTAAATGTAAAGTAATACAAATACAAAGTA